GTAAGAAACAGACAAACAAAACTGTGTATAGCTTCTTTTAAATTGATCTGATGATTGCGTTGGTATTTATTAGACGTAAGCTGCCAGTGATGTGGCTTTTATTAACGGTTTATCTCATAAACTGTGCATATATAGTATAAGATGTATGGAAATTCTGCAAATGAATAGTACTAGTGTCAAGGTTAATGTTTAAGTAAACAACATTATTTCTTTCCCTCTGAAATATAGTGGAATCTAGTATAGAGTATAAAGAAGCATGAACTAGAAAAACAAGTGGTAGTAGTACTTGAGTAAATGTCCCTGTGTTTTATCCCCTCACAGAAACCACTATCAAATGCCTGTGTGCATTTTTGGTGACCTTTCCAGCTGGACCTCTCCTACTGTTTAGCCAGATGTCAGCACTTCATTTGAAATAGGAGTGTGTCATCCTGTAAATCATGTTGATTGTACTTCATGCTGTAATATAAACTCCTGTCTCCTCTCTCTGCTTCTTGTCCTCCCTCTCCCTCGTGTCCACATCACCTCTCTTGCTCTTTTTTTTCTCTTTTCTGTCGTCCTCTGCAGGTCTGATTACAGTCCCTTGTCCTCAACGAGCAGTAAGTAAAACAATGGCAACACAAAATGACTCAAACACACACAATGTTTTTAAATTTATACTTGAACATAGTCTTCAAGTCATTTCCAACGTTTTACTAAAAAACCCTGATTACGCAGCTTCTTATAAGCCCTTTCATAACTTACTCACCTGTGATCTATAAATCTCAAATGAACTCAAAATTGATGGCACCTGCTTTACAATCAGTTATTTTCCCTTGTATAATTCTTGCATGTTTTATCCGACATGGACCAAAAGAGAAAATGTAACTGAGCATATTTGTGGAAAAGTAAATAAAAGTGGTTGGGAGATGATAGCGATTTACAAGCCATGGATTATCATGTGAAAAACGTCATTCTGGCCTTGAGGCCCCAGGACTTTATCTCCCTAATAGATACTGACCAAATGAATCCACTCACATGGGATTATTCCTTCCACCTCGGCATACATTTACTGTGATGGTACATGCTAGACACTTTTTGCACACAGGAGTAAATGGTTGGCAATCATGACTGAAAAAAACATTCACCTTTATGGGGAAATTAAAAGTGAACAATGAAAGTATAAAGAATTTAAAGATTGGAAATTTGGATTGGAAAAACTGCAATCTGCCTAGTGTGCTGTTATTTTCCCCTAATTTGCATTAGTTAAAGAAGTTTTCCCTTAAGACTTTTTAAGATTACCATGCATCAGTACAATATGTATAATATATGATAAATAAATACAGTATTATCAGAATGAGAGAATTAATGGTCACAAACACATAAATAAGACCCAAGTTGTAACAAACTGGAGGGATGGGTAATATTCAAAATGGTGGGCAGTATTATCTGTGGTGGCTCTGGCTTTTAACTTACAGTATTTGAATTTACCTTTAGTGATACTTCTGTGATGCTGATATTAATATCATAATATGATATTGATTACTTTTTTATTTTATTATTCAGTTGTTTTTGAAGCATGGCTAGACAGCAACTGCAACCATTGTATTTATCACTAAGCCATTGGAAATCAGCTTTCTAAATATACCTTAAGAGTTACAGATCAGATACTTCATATTTTTTGTGTTTAAGAGGTCATAAGTAGTGCTTGAACAATATGAAGTTGTGACTTGCTGCTGAGTTACCCATCTCCTGCTTTTATATACAGTGTCTGAGTGTCTGTCTACTTTTGTGTGATGTGTGTATCATTGTGAAGATCGGTGTTTTCAGAGGTCATGACCCCTCCCCGGTCTGGTTGCCAGGTCTGCAGGTCTTTCACAATGGGAGGATTATATCCAATATTAGCCCATTAATCTGTTCTACAGGAAGCTGTGTTATCCCACCCTCACCACACCCGCAAGTCAGGAAGTATAGTACCACACCACAATCACACAACCAACACAACACACACACCACAACACACACACAGTGATCCAGCAGTGTCTGGTTTATTTTTTTCCCCTCATGTTTCCTGTGTCTTTCCAGTATCAGATGAGCTTCTGCCCGCTATTGTCTCTGTCACTACTGGAGGTCAGGACTGGAACAAAACATGCACATTGACAAAAAACACAAGAACTTTAAATACATAGGAAAGTGTAACCACAATTAGAAAGTCACAGTTGAACCGAAACTATTGTACTTTGGGGCTTCATATTAATTAGGAATTCATCCAAACTGTACGTCACTGTGATTTATGACTGAAACTCACCAAAGGATTAAGATGTAATATAATTCATACCATTTGTCTGCAGCAAATACTTATGTCTGTTTGTCTGGCACTTTTAACTGCTGGTAACTGGTACTGTGGCAACAACACTTCTGTGTGATATGTAATCACCAGTTACTGGTGAGATGGACCATAAACCGACTAAAGACCACAATCAATATCCCAGGATAATCCACACAACACACCATCAGCAGCTTTGTTAGGGAGTTTTTCTTTGGTAGAAAGTAGTTCCAGTAAAAAACTGTGAGGCTTATCCAAATCAACAAGGATGCTGTCTTATACCTTGTTGGTTTAAAATTTAACTTTTAAACACTGTGAGCACCAGAATTCTCAGAAACAGACGCTGTATCTGAAAAGCTCAGCACATTTTGTAACTTTGGTTAAAGGGTGAACCAATTCTTTTAATCAATGTTCTAAAGTTGTGCACATGGGACATTAAAGTGCATACAACCTTAGCACGGCACTTTGTAGTAACCTGCTCCCATGCCTTGTTGTTGTTTGTTGATGGATTTGCTCCTTCTGCAGAGGGGTCCCAATGCTGAGTTGCTGGATGAGCTTCCAGAATCTGCTCTTAAAATGCCTTCAAAGCTTTCATTAATCATTGTCTTCTGCCACGTCTGTAGTTTTCCCCCCTCAGAAAAAAAGCTGTCTCTGCTCAGTGACTTGTTGTATGTAGGGTTTTAGGGACGTGGTTGGATTCTCTCACGGTTGACATAAGAGATGATCTCTGAAACTTTTGAACATCTCTGGAGTCTCCAGTTAGTACCAGCTTTTTGTCCAATACTAGTTCTGAGACTCAATGTTGGTTTCTGTAAACAAACCCATCCTACAGACAGACAGACAGAATGAAAGAAGCAGCCTCAGTTCATTTGTCAAACTCACACTAATGATCAGAACAGAAAGGACGGGACAGATGGACGCAAACTGCTGTGGCGACAGAGTTTTCAAAGACATGACAGGACAATATAGAGAACTCATCTGTCTCAGCGCTGTGTGTGGCTGCCTGTTTTTGTCCTCCATGTGTGTGTACTCATGCATGTCGATGTGCGCTGAGGAGTTCATTTGCAAAGGTGCGTGTAGCATCGGTTTCCCTTGTCTCCTGCCTCCACAGAAGTATATTTAGGTTCTGGCAGAGAGGGTACTCATGTTTATACAGGTGGTCTTAACCCCTTACCTTTGACCTTGTCTCAGACCAGCCATAAGCCCCCTGGAGACAGACTGATATCATGCTAAACCACCCCGGCCAGTTGTAGTCTACTATAGGTCCTATGTAACAGAAACTGGAGGAATTCAAATGGCTAGGTTTGAGTCTTGAAATTGAAACTATATCAATATTTCTTAATCTAAACTTAAAGAGCATTAAAAGGCCAGTTGTCCAGGACAGTGATTCTATTATTGTTAACTGAGCAACTCCACTGGTGCAGTTGAAGGTTAAGGATTTGACAGTTGTTACTGAGAAACAACAGAGGTGTCATTCATTTGAACCCAATTAAAAACAAAATATTATGTAACTTAGTTCACATCAAGCCATATTAAAAAATACCACATAATGAATGTGATGTCATTCCATATTTGTCTTACTATTAAAAAATCACATGAAAAGCTCCCATGAAAAACAAAACCAACACTCTTTAAAAACATGTCTCAGATATATAGTTTCATTTTCAAAAAAGGCTCAGTGATTTCATTAAACAGCTGAGCACAGTAAATTTAGCAACTGTTAGTCAAACAGGAGGAAATAGTGCATTTGTTGGGGACTATTTTCGTCAGCGGAATAATAGATATTCGGTGCTTTAGTGAGTATTCTCGGACAGTGATTGAGGGATTAAGTCAAAATAAAATACTGTGTGTTCCTGGTAATGAAGGAATATATCATTGGATTGGCTCACTGATGTGGTTTTACTAGCTTTTGGACAACAATGGAGCTCTATGGCACACAGAGGAGAAAGATATATCAGACTTTAGATAGACACAAACAAATACTTCTTAGTAGGATAGATTCATTGTTGGTTTTGGTCTTTTTATAGGATTATTAATATTGGATTATTAATATTGGCAGCTTTGTGCTTCAAATAAAAAAATACCACAGCCAAGCTGGATGCACTACTGCTGGGGATTGAATATATAAGCTACTTAGTTAAGAAGTTCACAAGTTCACAAATCAACAACTTCTAGGACTTCTTCTTAAAAGTAACACAAACATAGATAGAATTGCATATCAAGACAAGGCAAGTGACATTTACTTAAATTGAGAGACTTTTATACACTGAACAATTCCAACTAGGCTAAAAATGAAGTTTAAGATTAAATATTGTGTCACTTATTATGTAGTTTATGGTACAGATTGAAGCCAGTCTGGAAAATGACTTTTATTTCTAACATTAGTACTGTACCACTGCCACTTCTGCATTAGGGAAAATGTAGCTAAAACCTCTATGGAGTCTTGAATTTATATTCAGTCTTTAAAATGTAATATTTGTATGGCTCTGAGATTAAATTTAAGACGTGGAAATGGTAGTTGAAGGATTTAATGCAGCAGCAGTGATGGAAAACGTGTGCAGCTGGTGTGTGCAGCATCTTTGAGTGTTCAATGGAAGTCCCACCCCAAACACTTAATCACACAAGCTCATTTTCTATTGATCACAGCAGTGTGTGAGTGTCCACTGAGCCTGAGTGACCTGTGCCCCCAATGGTTTTCTGCATGTGTGTGTGTGTACGTAT